GTTGATGCTACTGCTCATTACAGTTATGATTGAGCGCAAAACGTTTACGTTCCCCATTCCGATCAACAGGTAATAGTAAGTAAGATTTATTATCTTAGTCCACGTAAAGTGCATTTATTTGGTAGCAGTACGCGAACAGATTAATTACGTTCTCGATGAAGACGAAATTATAGGGAAAGGCCCCAATTATAATGGCACACTGAACATGGTGTTCGATGGAATAGAGAAATTGAATAAAGGCGAAAAACATTTAAAGATTACTTGTGATAATGCGGGTGGTCAGAATAAAATAATGCCACTATTGATTTTATCTATATTTAATAATTTGCGGTTATTATTATTATGAAAGTATCGAATTAAATTTTATGGTCCCTGGACATACTAAATTCAAGTGTGATGGTAGTTTTGGATTGATCAAGAAACTATACCGTAGATTGTATGGACCATATTGTTGAAGCTGTGAAAAGATCGAGTACAGTTGGATTAAATAAAGCTCAGTGTTATGAAGACGGCAAAGGCTTTCAATACTTAGATCTTAATTCTGTGTTAGGGGGTTTTTTTTTAAAAAAATTAAATGGTTTACAAAAATATCAGCATTTCCTCTTTGAGGCAGCTCGACCTGGAGTTGTCAAAGCCCAGCTGGTTGCTTTCACTGAATTTAATTTGTTAAAAACTAGAAAAGTAAGCTAACTCCTCCTCCTTTGGACTACAAAAGGCAAGAATACCTTTATCATAATATTCGCCCATTTGTTAGTACTCGCTAATTTTAGATTATAGCTAGCGAAACGGTAGAAATATATCTGAAATAGCTAGCAAACATCATATTTCGATAAGTTAAATATATTTCTATAATTATTTATAACCAATAGTAGGATAGTCCTTCAATCCTCTAATAAATGTGCATTAAACACTTCAGTTCCCTGGTAACGTACCGATAACGCCGGAAACCGTTAATTCCTCTGCTAGTAAGAGTAATCGATACTTGTCCATCGATTCATTCTGGCTTGGCGAATACGATTAAAATCAAACTCTTCTCAAATACGAGAAAAAACCTGGCAAGTACAAAGATTTTTTGGTAATAAACAATTTTCTTTAACATGGTGGCAATGCTAACTTATTTATAGCTTGCATAAAAATGTTGGCGTCAATCTGATGAAGAGTTTGATTCAGAAGCTTGGGTTTAACCTCCTATTCATTACGCTTGGCTAAGGTAAATTTGCCGGACGCGAAAATGAATAATAGTTGATGGTACGCAAATGGACTATCGGCAAAGGTAGTGACGGTTCAATTTGCCAACAATGAAAATGATTACAAAGGCAACCCCGTTATAACGAAACAAATATCCCGTTGTAACGAAGAATTTTCAAAAACCCCATCCAATCATATAAAAATTACCCCGCTTAACCGAATTTTAATATGAAATCCTTTGTTACCCGTATCCGAAGATTTTTTTAAATAAATAATAACAAATTGAACCAAAGATCATCCTTTGTTAACCGAAGGAAGAAATTTTTTCAACCAATAAAATGCAGTATAAAAACTGACAAACATCATTGAATCTCAGCATGACCTTTTCGCGTGAATTGAACAAGTTAAAAAAGAATTTATGCAAAACGATTGGCGATTCGAAGGTTCAAACTAATCTTGGCGACTTCTTTACAATTAATTGACCGATTTGTAATATTTAATGCATCGAGTAATAAAACGAATTATTATTTAGCTAAATGCATTTATTTAATATTCATATGCTTAACCGAAGGAATCGGCATCATGATATAACCTTCGGTTAACACGGGTGACCCCGTTATTCCGAAGACCCCGTTGTACCGAAGGAAAATGCCCGGACAGACTCCTTCGTTATAACGGGGTTGCCTTTGCACAAGGTTTGAATATGTTCAGGAAATTGTTCTATCTATGTAGGCGTATTGATTTTATTAATTAAAAGTTTCAGAGTGTCACAACACCCATTGTTCAAATTATGGACGAGCACTCGATGCGCGGCTTTCTCATCAGTAATTATGATTACTAGTACATTCCAACAATTTTGATGACTATTATTCAATATGGCAAAAGGAAAAATGCCGATTATATGACCGCAGTTTTTTGTTCAGACACCGACGCAATAGAATGTGATAATCTCAGGAGATCGCCGATGCATTCCGAAACCCGTTTGAAAACTGATAACGATAATCTCCATTTTTGGTGTGGTGCATATTATTGTAATATAAGCATGCTTATCGATAACAGGGATTGACTATACCAAAATGTTTCTAAATGTTAGGCGATACCTATCAAATGACAGTGATTCTGAAGACGATGGGGCGGATAAATACAACAAATACTCTGAATTGCAAAGATTCAAAGTACATAGGTGTTCTCTGGATCTACCCGGTTGGTTTTAGCTGAATTGGTGTTTGGCCGATGATTAGAAAGAGAATTCACTGACTTTTATAGGGATGCTGCGATAATTTGAAGGCATTGTCCAACTCCAGGCGAGATATGCTAATGGTAACGGTAAGAAATCCTGTTTTTTGGATGTCTTGGTAATTGTCGAATCAGCCTCATATCTTTTAATCTTAGAAGCAGAGTTCTCAACTCAACAAGGAGCATCAGGACCGAAGCTGGTAGTTGTAATGGGTAACTGGAGTTTCCTTATGGGATTGTGGAATGAGCTTGGTTGAAGTAGTTGATATCATCATTAATTTGGTTTGTGAATGTAGTCGGACTCCCTGCCAGAGGCAAATCGTATATTGTCAAAAAACTCAAACGATACCTGACGTGGCTACAATATGATACGAAAGTAATAGAGGATAAAATTTACCTCCCAATGATCTATAATCTCCTATAAATCCCGTAGAAAACTCATTTTTTATATCGATAACTTCAGATTTTTAATGTCGGAAATCTCCGTCGTAATATGAACGCGACAAAAAATCTTTTGGAGGTTCCAGAACTACTCGGTCAAAGAAGACACTCGGCAGCCTTTTTTGACCCAGATAATAATGATGCAAAGAATCTAAGAGATAGGATGGCACTAGAATGCCTGGACGAATTGATTGACTGGATGAACAATGGGGGGAGGGTTGGCATTCACGGTGAGTTTATTGCATTTAGATGCATATAAATATGAAAATGATAAATTATAAAGAGTAATTCCTTTTTCATAAATGCCTAGATGCGACAAATTCGACTGTGAATCGAAGGTAGACATTCTGGCAGAAATTTATAAATAGAAAATGCGTGCAGTGGTTCGTGAATTGATAGTACGATTGTCATTTAAAAGAAAACTGATACTAGATCATATCCAGCAAAAATTATCGTGCAAGGTTTTGTTTGTAGAATCAATATGTAATGATAAGAAGGTTTGTCCTGATAATACGGTCTAGTATTCTAAATACTATTTATTCGGTTGACGTGTTAAATTTACTTTCCTTTGCTTTACTACTACAGACCGTTGAAGCGAATATGCGCTTGAAACTATCAGGTCCTGATTACAAGAACATGGATCCTGATGAAGCGCTCAATGACTTTCGGAAACGGGTTGTCAATTATGAGAAAGCTTATGAACCTATCAGTGAGGAGGAGGAACAAAGTAATATGCAATATTGTAAATTAATTAACGTGGGGAAAAAGGTTGCTAATTTACTTTCAGATATTCTGTGAAAATTTCAACTCGCCAAATGACTAACGCGATTAGTTTGTAGGTGATCGCGCACAACATTCAAGGTTACTTGAGCGGACAATGTATTTTCTATCTCATGAATTTCAATCTTGTTGGTAAGTTGTATTTTATTAGAATTCATTTTCATTTACTTTTTTTGAGGAAATAAACCTCTGTTCAAATAACAGAACGTCAAATTTGGCTGACGAGACATGGTGAAAGTACAGACAACATAATTGGCAGAATAGGTAATTATGCAGTTAGTTCTGTCTAAAAAGGTTCATTCAGATTCTTACTCATTCTATTCATCTTGTATGAATAATTAATTTTATATAGGCGGCAATGCATGTCTTTCCGCGAAAGGCCGTCGTTTCGCTGAATGTCTTGCGAAATTTATTTCTAAACAAAAAATTGCTTTCCGTCAACAGCAGTTGGCTAAACACAAAGCCGACGTTGAAGCTGAGCAACAATCAGATCCTTCAGCAATCCCTGCACCTGAACCGCCCGAGAAGAATTTCCACGTATGGACAAGTTTATTGCAGAGGACCATCGACACTGTTGAGCATATTGATCCGAAAGAGTTTGGTATAATGGTAAATACCATGTTTGTCCTCTTGTGATGTGTTAAGAAAATTAAAAAATTCCGATCTTGTTGTTTTTTCTTGCAGCACATTCGATTCCTTAATGAAATATATGCGGTAAAAACAGCCTTTACAGCCTTTTTAATTTTTGTTTAGTGTTTAATTGCTTTACGGACTCCCCTATTAATTGACAATATCCTTTTATGAATTTAGGGTCTTTATGAAGAGATGACGTATCGGGAAATTGAACAGCTCTATCCAAACGAATACAATGCGCGTAAAAATAACAAGCTTTATTATCGCTATCCTGGAATGGGTGGTGAATCATATCTGGACGTAATTCACCGAGTGAATCCGCTTATTGTCGAACTCGAACGGATGACAGATAATATCTTGATTGTAACACATCAAGTTGTATTAAGGATAATTCTAGCATATTTTTTGGATGTGGACAAAGAAAGCGTACCAGACATGCCGGTTCCTTTACATACAATTTATTGTCTGGAACCCAAGCCATATGGTAACATTTCCAAAGTGATCTGTAACTAAAATCTGAATGACAAATTTGATATATTTATTCTCAATATTTAGGAACCAAATTAACAAAGTGGAGATATGACGAAGATACAAATTGGTTTCTCGAAGAAGAATGACTTAATAGTTAACGGTAAAAATGATATAATTAAATTTACAAACAAGCACATGGCAGCGGAGAATCTCCATCATTATCGCCGCGATTGTATTTATATCGTTGAAACTTACGTTGCTTGTTCACTGAAATTACCCAAAGATTGTAGATTATACGTATTACTCAATCTAGTCCCGATTTGTGTCATGAATTCTGACGTTTGAGCATCTAGACCTGTATGCACAGTTGAATGAATGACGGCTAGTCTCACACGAATATCAATTCTTAAAAAATAATAAGTGGTTTTCAATTCTTTATCAGTTTCATATATTGGAATCGGTCTTTGCGGTGATACTGATGGCTTGCGATCCGCTTGCGATAACTTAGAGATCATGCTAGACCAAAGTTTATCATCCTTAGAGTGAGCTATTTGGTCCTGATTGATTTGGGGAGATTCGAGTTAATATATAATGCACTCGATAGACACTGAAAGAATTCCGAGATAGCAATACCTTGGGATAGCTATAAATACATCGAAATCGATCCATGTCAGAATCCAAGTCTGCTGGTTTCTCTCCTTCGCAGATATATCCATATACATAAAATGGAGCGTCATCCGTTATTTCATACACTAAAGCAACACACAAGGCGTTGGATGTCCTTCTGAAATTTGTTATCCTTACAGTAAAGAAAAAAGATTAGAGGTTATTTCAGATTCAATAATCTTTTCAAAGAGATTGAACTGGGGTTTCACTTACTCCCCATGATAATCAACTTCAACACGCTGCCACATTTGGCCTAGACCTCCTCTATCACTATCTATCAAAACTTGCATAAAATATAAAGTCGCTTTTGCAGTCAGATCGCCATGGAATCTGTTCATCCATTGCACTAGATTAGGAGAACCGCTGTTTCGTTTGACAGGTCTGGAATTCCTCTAAGAGATTAATGCATTAGTGCGTGTGTAAATAAATTGTTAACGAAAACGCGAAATATGCTTCCTACCTCGAAGATAATCCAGGTGAAAAGTCCACGTGAAACGTCCTCCGCCTTGTTTGGAGATTTCTATTCGAAATCGCCAGTTAGATTGAGTCAATTCGAAACAGGTACAATAACATGATACTCGGTTTCCAGAGATATATATATTACCTCTGCATACTCCTGGCTAGAATATAGTTCTCTCCACGCCGACAAATTCATCTTGGCTGTGTAGAGGTTTACTATGGTATCCTTAAAGTTGTAAGATGTTATTCCTTTCTGCGCAGCGAGTAACGATTCCATTATTGCAATTTCATAACTGTGAAGGAAATAATTCTCAGTGAGCAATTATTAATTATTTACTATAAATCAATAAAACCTTTCCCTAGTTACAGCTCACTTGAGTCCAGTCACTAATATGCCCAATTTTTTCAAGAATGGTTCCTTTCTAACTTCTTCTCCAATTATTTTAATCTTCTCGAGAATAGGCGTAACATCGTCAAGATATTGATGATTCTGTATTAATCGATAACTGTGTCATAAACAATTAATCAACATCTGAATAACGGACACTGAATGGATATCCTGTGATTGCATACACTTCATTCATGTTCTGTCTACACTTTGCAAAGCAACCCAGTGCTCTGCAGACATCGATCATGTAGATAGCGTCGGACTGAGCGGGTGCCCCAGCTATTTGGGCAGATACCTTCGCATGTATATCCTTAACTGCATCAGAATACAGCAAATCAAGGAACTTTTGTGCGTCAATCTCAAGATTTGCTACAACGTCAATCAATTCGTGATAAAAGCTTACATCTTTGCTTCGCCATAATTTTGACTTTAGTGAATCCAACGAAGTATAACTCTGTTCACAACGTGATAATGCCGTAAGAATTGTGCTTGCCCCTGGGTTTATCTACAGAAGGTAGCACGTTATCAGACACGAAACCATGACTTTTCTTTGTTATTATCCAGAATGTACCTTTGACATTCTCCCTGCCACCTTTGTGGCTGCTGGATAGTCGAAGCATCCAATGGCTTGAAAATAACTCTTAAATATTTCTTCCATTGTGTTGAGTTCTTTCTTAGCATTACCGGTAGTGGGTTTTTCTTCCATAGTGCGGAAATTGAGTTCCTAATGACATGTCATATTTATCTTGCAATTATCTTCATAATCAAGTCACATGAACCATTTGATAAATAATACCTTATTTGTTTCCTTCTATTACTATTATACAACAAATTTTATCTTCATAATCAAGTCACATGAACCATTTGTTGATAATGCCTTATTTGTTTCCTCTATTACTATGATACAACAAATTTTGCATTATCTAATGTAATTAATTCCCTTCATTAAACGTCCACAGCTTGTTTGATAATATCTAGTTCACTACTTGTGGTTTTTATAGCAAGCTGTTTGGTAGACTCGTCTGCAGTTTATCTTGATCAGAATGCTTATCGTCGAAATGACCAGAATGTTATTACATCGATGACTACGTTGCATCATACTATCAGTCTTGAGAATACCCAAAACATTAATCATTCCATAGGCGGCAACATTTATTAACGTTTTCAGAGAGCGTGAGAATGGCCAAGACAATTGATTTAACGGCAACGACACAGCATTATCCCTCTTGTAGATATCTCCTAGCTTGAAGTTTTCAGTAAAATTTCTAGCACTTCATAGAATTGTCAATTGGAGTTCAGCGCTCTGCCTATGTACCAAGAGAATGTAAAGTTTTTAACTTTGAAACCAGTTCTCTGATGCATTAAAATTCTCAATATTTGCCAAAATATTTGGTAAACTTGATGTACGTGCTCGATTTACATAAAAACTTTGCCCTTACAGGTCATTCAGCAATTTTTCTTTCACAAAATAAATTCTGTCTAATATAAACGCCTTTTATACAGCTTAGCGAGCTCCGCTTGAGTCGTGTTACGTTGATAAACGTTTTTAGCAAAAACAGTACGTGAGAAGTCCGAGCCGACGAAGATGATCATATCTCAGTGTCTCCTTCTTCCAACAATCCCCCAGAATGCTCCAAAGCTTTCCCATATGGCAACAAACCTCTGGTTAACCCTGATGGTTCTTTAACTGGCGGAACACCAAATCTATCCTTGTAGACAACCTTTTGTGGGCAGAACCCCCCTCCGACCAACTCACCAAACTCACTATTCATTGACCGCAAATTGCAGACTTATCTAAAAAAAAAAGTTCCAGCTATATTTCTCAAATTTATTTGAGCAGTTCTATCCACAACTGATGCTTCACTCAATGTTCGAAATTTCCTGGTGCGTCTTCTATATATTTTTTCATTATCTAATGGTATAATACATTCTATATAACCTTTTATTTGTGTTTCTATAGTGTTCATCTTTTTTAATTGTCTATTTAGAAACCATGGGTTAAATCAATAATACCTTTCTAATGAAAGAGCTCAACATGGATGCCAAGGAAGATACTCTGGTACTTCTGGAGTCGCGTTCTTCTGAAAGCGAAAGTGCCATTCGTAAATCTCCATCCTGGGATCAGAATGTGAACTTTACATTGAAACAATATGTTCTATATGACATTGATAGACGGAGGAGTGATTACCTAAATTACAGAATAAGTCAGACGGAAAATGAAACGGAAAATCATAGTTTTAAGGATCAAAGCCATTTTTTCTCCGAACGCTCGAATTTTTTTTACAAACAGCAATAATCCGCCAGAGAATGTGAGTTGATGACGTATATCCCCACATACGTATAGATGCGCAAGTCGCCATAGTATGAACGTCTCCTGGGAAGAGTATGTTGAAAAACGAAGAAGTATAAATGTACATCAGTAAACATTCGATTCCTTATTGTTATAATTATCTTCGCGTAACTATCTCGCGTCTTTCTCTAGTATGTCTAAAATATCAAGCCGATCAAACCTTTTTAAGTACCCAAGCGAAAGTACATTCCTGTTGATTTTGAATAAACGAGTAGCGCCTTATACTCTGAAATTAAAATACACGAAGTGATAATTCATTCCTCAGTTGTTGTATCGAGTAGTAGCTGACAGAAATGTGGCGTACCGGGCCTAGAAAATTCTTTGAATGTAGATCTCTCTCAATAAGGCTATCGTGCACATTCATGATCTGTCAAATTAACGCGTGCTCTTACTATTACGCAGCGCGTGTCAACCAACATCATAGCTTTAGCTATTACATTCTGACTGTTATACGTTTGAAGAGCTAAATACAATCACTTTGAAACGCACGCATCCCTTTGAGTTTGGATACAATGCAAGAAAGACCACGTTCACTATTAGAAATTGCCAATAATCCGTCAATTGTCTATGCGAATGTATACAACGATTCGATACAATCCCAACGTATGCCCAGCTACGCCTATGACAAATCTAATGCACTGATATCAACGTTGGCATTTTATGAATCAGAAGATGTACTACAATGCGGCGACTCACTACCCACCCAACCGCCTCTCATTGATAACTTCTCTCACCTGAAAACGTTAACTGATTATACTCGGTATCTATTCGCTGATAAGACAAACGTAAATCAAACAAGGAATTATAGAAAAAACAAAAGGGTTGTCAATTCCGAGAGAGAGTCCGTGAATAAAAACATAAAGGAAAACGTGGGAACTGATAGCAGTAGTGAATTAGAGAAGGAAGCATTGGAGATCGTTGATAACATTCTGCTAAAGGTTCGTAAATAACAATGAGTCAAAAACTACAGTAGAAGCAAAGTAAATAAATCAGGACATTACGTTTTTCTTATCCAGTTCGGTGAGCAACAGTGTGCGGATGATTCGGATGAGGTAGAATTTTCAGATGAACACTACGAATATAACGAAACGATGGACCCATTCACAGTTAACGACAGAGAGGAAAATGTTAATCAAAGCACAGTAAAAACCAAAATCTCAAGATCGCGGGGGTGAGTATCTAAGAGATCTTTTAGTCGATTGATTATACAAGACGCGTTCGGCTAATATTAAACCATTTGTCATAAGAATCGATCAGGCTGCAGGAAAAGTACGACGGTCGATCCGTATCGCCAACAAGAGGCGAACAAGGTAAGTCGTTCGAACGATCATAAGAATTATATTTCTGGAATTAACGATGAGCTCGATAATATTTACCAAGCATCAGCGAACCATTGGAGATTCCTATAAACAAAAACTCTAATGTTGACAAACAAATGCGTTCTGAGACAAGCACGCCGGTTGGAACGCGTGATAGCTCGACCAAAACTGATAGTAGTGAATCGGATAATGACATATGGGATGAATCTTCAGGTATCTTAGATTAATATAAAATCTAACTTCACGTTTTTCTACTCCTTAATAACAACCGTATCTCCTTCACAAGTACGACGGTCGATCCGTATCGCTAACAAAAGGAGGCGAGCAAGGTAGGTCGTTTGAAACGATCGTAATAAGCATGCTTCTGGAATTAACGATGAGCTCAATAATATTTATCCTGCACCAGCGAGCCGCTGGAGATACCAATAAAGAAACGCTCTAATGTTGGCAAACGAAGGCGTTCTGAGAAAAGCACGGTTGGAACGCGCGAGAGCTTGACAAAAACTGATATAGAACACTCTAGTGAATCGGATAATGGCATATGGGATGAATCTTCATATCCTCAAGGTATCTTAGGATTGATGTAAAAGTCCTACTTCACGTTTTTCTATTCCTTAATGTTATATTTAACAACCGTATCTCCTTCACAAGTACGACGGTCGATCCGTATCGCTATCAAAAGGAGGCGAGCAAGGTGAGTTGTTCGAACGATCGTAATAAGCATGTTTCTAGGATTAACAATGAGCTCAATAATATTTATCATGCACCAGCGAGCCGTTAGGGATACCTATAAAAAAACGCTCTGATGTTGGCAAACGAATGCATTCTGAGAAAAGCGCGGTTGGAACGCATGATAGCTCAACCAAAACTGATATAGAAAACGATGGTGAATCAGATAAAGACATATGGGATGAGTTCTCATATCTTCAAGATATCTTAGGATGATATATTTAAAAATTTGCTTCCTGTTATTCTGCTCTCTAGTGCTAACTTTTAACAACCACATCTCCATTCGTCCAGCAACAGGTAGTTACAATTACATAGTCAACCTCGATAAGTCGGCCCAGGCGGGCTGGGCTTTGATTTATCGAAAGGACCTACTTACTGAGAGCACGCGAACTAACAGAATATAATAAACTTAATTTGCAGGAAAACTATCTAGAGTCGTTTGTTTCATTGAATTAATTTGTTTTTTCTTACAAGTCCCTTATTTTAATACCAAGTGCTAAAGTCATTCTGTTGTTAAATAATTCATTTCGACACTTTCTAAAGCCGTTTTATTTGCCACCAGTAACAGACACAAATCGTCGCTGCTATCATCCTCTTCCTCAGCTGTTGCATCGTTGTTGAGTCGATATTAATGTATTTTCAATATCTCATGCATGTTATCGTTGTACAACTATGATTGTCACAAATATGGGAGAACTTGATTTACCAATTTTCTTTTTTGGTATATCATACCGTAAATGTGGGTAAGGACGATCATTGATTAATACACCTTATTTCCTTTTCCGAGCCATAAAGTTTTCGACATATTAGTAGACAGGGCCTTGTTAAGTCCTTTGTTATCGATGAAGTCAACTTGGCTGGTTCTCGAGCGATATCATTAAAATAAGGAAGGCTTTTAGTATTGGTATTTCGAATTCCATTTGTTTTGTTACTGGATAATTAGCCAGTGTTTTTGACGCTACAATTATCGATCATCGAATAGACTTTGTTCATCTTTTTCAAGTATCTGCATTTAATAGTTGGTAAAGAACAATTTCCTTTTTATTTTAATCATTATGTAGAGGGTATACCTAATTGACAATACAACAAACAATAATAATCTGAAAAAAATGTAAAAGCCAAAAAGCCTTGCTTGATTAGATGGATAGCTAAATCAGCAAGACTAAGACTTTGAATTTATTATACCTTCAGAGCTAGGAATAGGAAATCTAAACCCGGTTCTGAAGGAGAAGTTATAGAAGTAAAGAAAGCCTTATCTGAGTCAGCTGGAGAGCGAAGTGGTTTGCTTCCTCCTCTAGTTATATGTCAATCACTTTACTAGAGGGAAACCACTGAGCTGGTCAACCCGGATGGGCCATCCAGAATCGACCGGCTATTTAGTAACAATTTTATAAATACTCTGAGTGCACCCCTCGCCCCAGCTTCATTCAATCATATTGCCCCAGCTTTTCTTTCATATTGCCCCAGCTTTTCTTTCATATCGCCCCAGCTTTTCTTTCATATTGCCCCAGCTTTTCTTTCATATCGCCCCAGCTTTTCTTTCATATCGCCCCAGCTTTTCTTTCATATTGCCCCAGCTTTTCTTTCATATCGCCCCAGCCTTTTTTAATATCGCCCCAGCTTTTCCTTCATATAATGTTAACACATAATCAAAAATAGAAAAAAACAAATACTATCTGGGAAAAGTTTTTTACTCAATAGTTAGGAAAAGATGTAGTCGAGGAAGGAGAAAGATAAAATTATATTGTTCAAAGCAAGAAGAAAGAGTAAGTAAACGCGTAAGTTGGCAAAGGAGAAAAGAAAAAAGAAGTAAATACGTAACTTTGAAACGACAGTTCTAGGAAAGAAAGGCAAGAAAGTAAGTAAATGTGTGGGTTAAACGCGGAAAAAGGGAAAGATAATATTGTACGGTTCAAAGGGGAAGGAAGGAAGTAAACACGTAGCTTAAGAAAAGGAGAGAAAGGCAAAAATAATAACACGCGAAAAAGGGGGGCTCTTAAAGGACATATGACAGTTCACGGGACTCTTATTTAACAAGATAATAATAATCATTCGTCTAGACACGTGAACAGAGATAGTAACAATGGTTGAAGATATAAAATTAGAAAGAGAAGGCGCAGAAACGTTGATAACAATTGTCGTACAGGCAGTTATGCGCACTACGTAATGTAGCATTTGTTATAAAGCAAGTCTCTGTTCACGTGTCTAGACGAATGATGCTTCTGGTCTACAGTTGGCTCGCCCCTGCGATGCTATTTACGATAGAAGTTGCTAAAATTAGGAATCATTGTAGGGGAGGTAGAGGGGAGATAATTTACACCCCCAGCATTTATGGCATGATAACTTATCAAACAATAAAGAAATCTTTCCACTTTATTTGACAAGAGCTTATGAGCACCTACCTGCCAAATCTGTCAGGGGAGGTAAGCTGATGAGAGCACCCACAGTCAAGGGGAATACACAGTCAACCCCGTTAGTCCGAACCCGTTAAACCGAAGGTAAGTTCTAAAACCTCTATTACTATATTAAATTTACCCCGATAAACTGAATTTCATAGCATTACCACCTATGCTCCCGACCCACTTCGGTTAACGGGATTTATTGTTTGTGGCTAAAAACTGTACGAATACACGGTAAAAGAGGCCTATTTTTCATAAATCACAATAATCAGTCATAATCAACTTGTCTCAAGGAAGTAATGAGACGTGAAAACTTACGTTCTGTATTGCGCTTGGTTAAATAAAGATCAAAACTTTTGCTAACTAAACAAGCTTTTGAATAAAGTGTCAGTGGAATTACAGTAAATTGCAGAAAATGCTGCCTAAAATATATAAATGTCACGAAGAATTCCCGAAAAATGCATGAAATGAATTAAGAGCAAATGAAAAAGGAAAACGATAAAAATCATAACATGTTAACGGAATTATAGTTGAAACCCGGGTAGTTCGAAGCGATATCTGATTGTTTGTTTGCCGGGCTTCTTTGTTTACAGTATTAGGTATGACACGAAATTATTAATAATGAAAAAATGGGCTATTTCCAGTCAACGATTGTACCAATTATTATCATTAAATCTCGTTTGATAGCTTATAATAAGGGTATTTATTACAAAAAATCTAATATACATCTATCTCTCATTGAACTAACTAAAATTAATTATGTGGTTTTTTGAATTATATTCCACTCCTCCACCATAAACTCAGCCAATTTATCACAGTTTTTGGCATGTGGTTTTCAGAGGTTTTCAATGGGATTAATATCGCATCGTACATACTGGCGATCGTCCTAGATGCATATGCTGTAATAATTGATTACCCTTCTTGTGCCAGCTTTCGAAGGTTGCAATAGATAGTTGGGATGGGGATTTTGGTGAAAATATGTATTTCGAAGATGTTGTGGTGGTCGTGGTCGTGGTCGTGGTAGTTGTATTACTGATTTTTCTTTCTTTTATTGATGTTGGAGAAGCTTCGGATACTTTAACTTTTCCGATTTATTTTGAGAGGGGTTAGATGGAGTTTTTGTGTAAGTGCTTGGCCGTCCATACATATCTTCATGCTACATTACGATCTGAAAAAGAGATTAACGTTAATAAACTTATAACGATAGTGGCAATAAAACATTTACACTGTTTCGTAAGCTGGATTTTAATAACAGATAGACGATCAAATCATTTTGACTCCTACGAGATGAAAAATTATGCAGATACTTATTTAGTAGAGCTATATGATATTATGCGTTAAATTGCATTCTTCGAATAATTCGTCTGCAAAACATTATCCCTCTTAAATAAGTATGATAAACTACCATCAATTTCCAGAAAAGGAGATTTTTTACACAAAAGTCACGGGATTGCCAAATTAAAATGACAGCGAAAATCTTTTATCAACTTTCTTACTCAATTTAAATTAATATATTAATAGAGTGTATAATGGGTAAAAATAAAAGGCATCGCAAAGCAAACCCCTCTAAACGAAATAGGGACGTAGACAACAGAGATAAGAGACAGCAAGGTCAGGGCGAAGCCCAATTCGATAAACTTGTAAAAAATAATGCTGCCTTCGAAAAGTATTACCAGGTGGGACGCAAGCCTAGAAAAATCGCGGAAATATGAACATCTTGTCTTTAGGATTTTAATGTCAAATCATCTTATACCTGTATCGTATTCATTAAATAGGCTCAGAATCTCATGCCATCTGACGAGTTTGAACAATTTTTGGAAACGCTACGATTAACTCTTCCCGCATCATTCAGAATTACTGCGAGTCGAAGGTAATAATAGAAAAGACTTTTAGAAAGAAGACAGCATATTTATGCATCGATATCGAATAGTCCTCTGAGATGTTTTTTTTTTCGTGTTTGTAATTGTAGATATGCAGTTGAGATTCTTAAAGTTATTAAAAATGTATTCGTCCCCAAGTTGACCAATATTGTCTATAACGATGGGCAGGTCTTCAAAGCTCCTGAACCACTTCATTGGTAAGCTTGTTTATATCAAACATTATATTGCGAAATTTATTATTCTTTTTTCGTGAAGAAATACTCATTTCTTATTCTTGCTGTTTGATAATCTAACCCATTTCACTCTTGTGACGTTTAGGTATCCAGATGAATTTGCCTGGCAACATACAGTCTCCAGGAATATGCTTAAGAAGGCGTCTGAATTTGCAGAATTTCATTCATGGCTAGTTACTGAGACTGGAGTAGGAAATATATCCCGTCAAGAGGCAGTCAGCATGATTCCTCCATTGCTTTTGGATGTTAAGCCAGAACACTGGGTACTTGATATGTGTGCAGCTCCTGGGTCAAAAACAGCTCAATTGATGGAGGCTATACACGCCAACGATACATTATCAAGAGATATCCCTGGTGTGTGTTTAACTATGTGTGCAATGGATAGTATGATGCTTGTTTTAACAAAGGAGTCTGATCACATGGTTCGATGACAGCTGGGCTTGTAGTAGCAAACGATGTCGATTCAAAGAGAGCTTACACGCTGGTGCATCAGACAAAGAGACTGAGAAGTCCCTGTTTGGTTGTAACTAATCACGAGGCATCTTCATTTCCAGGGATATACGTTAAACAGGTATTATAACGAGGCTGACTTGTCCAACGACGAACAAAAAAGTGTGTGTACACGTATGTGCCGGTTGACTAAGTAAAAGTATTTATTTGCATTCTGACTTATAGGCTGATGACGAAAAACCAAAACCTATACAATTCGACAGAGTATTGGCCGACGTTCCTTGCAGGTAATCAAATATAGTTATTCCGAAGATTGTTAGATATGGCAATATTATATTCACGGCTTTTATGATTTAAGTGGTGATGGGACCTTGAGAAAGAACGTCCTTTTGTGGAAGAAATGGAGTGTAGTTAGCGGAATAGGTCTCCACAGGTATTTGCCGCTTCTCATTGATAAGTGTCTATCAACATTTTGTAGAAGGGTATTCATCTATGCCAAATGGTTAGAATGCAAGTAAAAATACTTGCACGTGGTGCACAACTCGTTAAAGTGGGCGGAAGACTTGTATATTCCACATGTTCATTTAATCCCGTAGAAAATGAGGCAGTCGTTGCAGAAGTTCTAAGACGTTGTAAAGGTAACAGCGCACTGGCAAGTATGGCTGGCGAGTTTTGTTCTGTCATAGTTAACACGCTTCTATTCATCAATTCCATCCAGGCAGTCTTAGACTTGTAGATGTATCAGATCAGCTGCCATTGCTCAAACGTGCGCCAGGATTAAGTACGTGGAAAGTTATGAATAAAGTCGGTAAATTCTTAAGTAAATGGGAAGACGCACATCCATCTTATCGCGGGAAATTCGAAAGGTCGCTTTGGCCTCCCCCAAACGTCGATGAACTTCACTTAGATAGATGGTAATCATTGAGGGCGCTGTCAGTATGTTATAAATTTTTTTACAGAATGTTAACAATTTGATTTTTTTTTATTCTCAGTATAAGGGTCTATCCACACTATCAGAACACAGGCGGATTCTTTATAGCCGTTTTTGAAAAGACTGGGCCAATAACTGATGTGACAACAAAGAGTGATGACAAACATATGGAGAATGAAAAGGAGGAAACCGTATCTTTTTCGGGGGAAACTACATCCGTTCCAGAGGACATGTCGGCTGCTCCAGAAGAAATCGAAAACGATAATATTGCTGATTACGAACTTATTGAAATTGGAGAAAGTGACTTAATTAGTTCAACTGATATAACTGACTCGAATGATCCAGCCGAGATACCTGATGTAGAGGACGAGACACTACCTCAGAAGCGGGTTAATGCTGATAGCAGCGATATTCACAATAAACGACTAAAGGTCGATAATATTCAGACCTCCAAGCAAACTGAAAAATCAACAAATCAAAATGATAGCAAAGGCCAAAAGAGAGGGAAATCTGGCATCTCATATGAAGAACAGTTTATCTTTCTTGAACCTGACAACGAAGATCTTTCCGTTATTAAGTTTGTATACTTATTTTATCATTACAGTCGATTTATGACGGTAAAGGAAACTATAAACGTTTTTATCCAATCTATCCTTCCACACTTGCAAATACTATACTCTATCCTCGATCGTACATAGATCTTATTACTCCTTGTCTCCAGAATTCCCATCACATCTGTTCTTAGTCCGTTCGGAAAATGCAAAGAACCGAACCCTTTACTTTGTCTCACTATCTGTCAGATCGTTGCTGACGTCTCCTGACGCATCTCGATTGCGAGTAATCAACACCGGTCTACGTGTATTGACAAAGCAAGATGTTCCGGAAGAGGTTAAATGTAGTTATAGATTGCATTCTGAAGGAGTAGCAGTGATTGCTCCCTGGATGGAAGGAGAAGAAAGGGTTGTGAGAGGAGAAATGGAAGACTTGGAAGTATTGTTGAGTGAGCAGACACCCCGTTTTGAGAAGTTTAGAGACGAGATGAAAGAAAAGCTTTTGGCTATAGGTGAGCGAGGCTTGTATAGCTATGCGATTGCAGAATTAATTAAAACAGGCTAAGCCAAACGATAAATTGTACGAATTTTTGTAGAGCAAGGATGCATTCTGTTTATTGTATTAGCTCCTTTACAAGCATCGACTTCGACGTGAGTACCTTGAGCTGTGATGCAGTTGATTGAGCATGTTTGGTAGTTAACGGCATATATGACATTTTATAGCGTTCCTTTACCTCCGATTATTCTTCCCATATGGCGCGGTAGATCCTCGTTGAATTTGTTGTACAAGAAGGAAGAAAGACAGTAAGTTTTAGCTGATAATTTACAACGTAATATAAACGATTGGATTTTGAATTTTATTGAATCGGCTGTATTATTCCTAGTGCGCTAGAACTTAGAATTCAAAATTATATGGGAAAACCAATTGGCAATAAGGCAGATCCAAAAAAAGCCGATGATCAAAATTCATCGATTGAATGTAAGGAAGTAGAGCGTAATACTGCTGATGAGCAAGTGAAAAAAGACACTGTTGAACCATGATGCAATCTGTTTAAGGGAAAATAAAAATAGAAAGAGTCTCAGTATATATCTTGGATTCAACATGTACCCGAACAAATTGTTCTCCCAATAATCATTGCAAGACGTCATTTGTTTGCCTCAAACACACCGGACAAAACAAGCAACCGATTTATTAGAGACCAAGGTCATAATATGATCCACAGTCATCGGGAACACATTTATTATATGACAAGAAATAAATCATGCAAATATTCTTATGGCCCCATATGTCTTTAAATATTAAGCTTGGTGCGACGCCAATGTCGACGCTTGGCATTATATCTGTTTGAAGAATGAAAATGTTATTAATTAAAGAGATATAACAATTTGGCCTTATAGCTCAAATGCAAGGAAACTTTTCGTTTCTCCAAATTGTTACGTAAATACCTGATTTTGCTGCCAGTTCGTGCTCTGATCCAATGAGGAATCGGTCGATTTTGTTTTTGCTTTTTACCAAGCACACGCTTGATTCTATAGGTCTTGTGAGAAGGCTAGGAAAAAGACACGAGGAACAAATTATTGTTAATACAAGCAACTTCCCGGGCTGAATTTGCAATCAACTCGTTTCAAAAATAATAGCAACAAACAATGGAAACAGTTACCATTGCTAAGACCAAGACTCTGTTATCTGCTGAATAACAAACACTTGGCTAATTGCGGTAGGAAGAGGAAATTAAAAAAATTTTCGCATTTTTCTGCTAAATCAATATCACATGATCATATGAACACAAATCCCCATTCTTGTGATAGAATTATTGACCACTTTTTTCACGCAAAAACAAGAAAAATATGATAATTCCAAGGATACTATTGAAACACTTTTCACAACCTTTAATGACATCAAGATGTTACTCAAACCATACTTTCCTTTGCAAACAAACAACTGGACATTCATCGTTAAGATATGAACCGACGGTACCAAAACAGGTGAAACTACTTATAATATTGAAATTCTAATATTTTATTAGGTATATAATTACCATCTAATATTTCTTTCTTGACAACGAATTTCCATCACAGTTTGCACATTTTATGCCCAAATCAAAGAGACTATTATTCACAAATCCATCTTTTAAATTTTGTTCATTTCGTTGTCTTAACTCTCCGTCTCTTATTACTATTCGATCTCTAGCTACATCACCATTGCCACCGCGGCGTCCGCATTTCTCTTCAAAAAGTTCTGCTTCGTCTCGTGGCATTCCGTTGTATCGAAACAAATCAATGCTTATGTATACGACATCGGTACTGATTTTACTTGTCGGTCTAACTTATGCCAGTGTCCCGCTCTACCGAATGTTCTGTTCAGCCACGGGATTTATCGGAACACCAATCACTGATATTTCTCGATTTACAGCGGATAAGCTTATTCCGGATTCGTCCTCCTCGCGTATAAAAATCACATTTTCTGCAAATACGTCGCAAGCACTCCAATGGAAATTTGTTCCAGAACAGCGTGAAGTACATGTACTTCCTGGAGAAACGGCTCTGGCGTTCTATAAAGCAAAGAATATGTCACAGGAAGATATTATTGGAATAGCTACATATAACGTAACACCTGACAGAGCGGGGCAATATTTCAACAAGATACAATGCTTTTGTTTTGAAGAGCAGAAGTTGAAAGCTGGCGAGGAAGTTGATATGCCCGTGTTTTTCTTTCTAGACCCTGAGATTGCAAAGGATCCGTTTACAAAAAATATCAGGACCGTTACTTTATCTTATACGTTCTTCAAGGTAATTCGAGACCTGCTAATGGTATTGCAATTTATTACTTTTAAGGTATTGTCAGATAAGGTGTTTAAATTAACGTACGATGCTTTCCATGGCTTGCTTAGGCACGATATAATAGTAAAGGGTCTCTTGTGCCGATTCCCGTAAAATAAAATAACCCACAAAGGTGATACGGAAACATTTTTATTGTTATGGAAGAAAATCCACGAATTCCAGCAATCATATCAACCGCATTATTCGTTTTGATCACCACAAGTGATGTCAAGCCATTCATTAAAAACTCGGCATAGAAATCATCATCCATTTCTTCATTTATCAAGTTTCCTTCCAATGTTCCATCCCATCTTCCTCAACCTTTTTACCAACGGCGGCGTCACTGCAGCGGTCAATCCCAACCTTAAAGGCACCAATACTTTATGGATTCCATACGCGATAACAAATATACTGGCCCATGACGGTGGCTTCCCTTCTCTCTCCGCCTCTCTCATTTTTTCCAACTCTCTCGCCTCGGTTCCCAATTCATCTTCATTCCCATTTTTTTCATCCGCATTTCTACTTCTCCATATCGTAACCCACCCACCAAAATTCTTCACCATCCAGTCTTCGGCTTTTTTAACTCTTTCTGTTCCCGCTGCGCGTACTGCAACAAACGTTATGCCAAGATCGATGGTCGAAATAGCAACATAGACGAAAACTGCACCAAGCCCATACTGACGAGTTAGTTGTTTGAGGCGATCAGCCATTGAATGATGAGTTTGGGAGGACGTAGTAGTGCTGTTGGTTGTTGAATGAGTTGATGGAGTGGAATATTGACGGAAGAAGGCAGGAAGAATTGGGCGTAGTCTTACTTTGTGACAATGTTCTTTAGTGATTATTGCCGGATGAAAACGCGACTTTTTAATAATGTTTGGGATAATAAAGAACGCCGTATTATCATTATATTGTCCATGAGACTTTCTAAAATTGTGTAAAAACGGTTTTGACAAATTTGGTGCATTGAATCCAGTCTGTAGATTAAAGAGCAATCTAGGAGAGTTCCTGATGGTCGTTTGTTGTATGATACTGGAAGGGATGGCTTTTAGCATAGTAAATGATATTTTAGAAAGACTGCACAGAAAATTTTCCTTCTGTTGGATATGTAAGTCACGTGGTAAATCTTTAACCAGTTTTTTGTTGCGTGAACGTGATTTCTGTATTACACCTCCCACCAGTTAAAATCTTTGTCATCTACGAATTTTCGAGAAGTTACAGTTTGACCTGTGAAGATAATATTCTATCTATGCAGTTCACGGAGGGACTTTTCGCCTTCTTGGTCTTCAATGGTAGCTTCGATTACACAACTATCGTTATATTCAGGATTGAGCGATTATATTTTAGAAACTTGGGGTTCTCTCTCCAAACTTCGATTAATAATTGGATGATACATAAACTTGTTCTATTTTTAAACTACAATGACCTTGACAATGTATCAATCATGCGATATGATACTTCGTAATCTCGCAGATAGTTAATTACGTTGAATACGTCATAGTTATAATCGTACGATTGTCTACTAAATAAAGATAGTAAAAAAAAAAAGCATAGTTAGACAGGGATAACGACTCTTTAACTGTATGGGAAATGTACACAGGAGATACAAGATTTTAATTGGCGGAAGATGTAATACAATAGTCACGCTCCTGCAACAAAACTGGGGTACTATCGCTATTATTATTTGTTGGTTAGTATTAGGATAACTTTATGGGCATTTCTTAATAAGACGATCGATCTCGTGTTTAAACGATCAAAATATGCCTCATTGGTTTGACTGATCAAAGAATAAATGGTTGTCAAAAATCACCGTACAACCAGTGCCCACACTTTATTCTCTTCCTCGCATTCGTCATCTTCTGGAACTTCACTATCTTCTTCCCCATCGCAGAGTGAATCCGAAACGGACGAATCAGATCAAGATGAAACCGAGTACACAGAATATAAACAGTACAACGATAAGAAAGAGGATACTCATCGACTGTCTATGCACAAGAAATATGAAAAGTGGATGTTACCGGTGATCAATGCACGGCGGGTTCTTGATAGTAGAAATATGGGAGAAAAGGTTTGGGGTGAACTTTTGAGTGGTAAATGAAGATGAGATGTTTGTTTTGGAAAGCTGAGAAATGCGATTGTGATTATGCTGAAGGCTGGATGGTCAACTGATCAAGCTTCCTCTTATATTTAGCAATACAGGCACTTGAGACATCCCTCAAATCAAACCTGACATCTTTAGATATTTTTACGCCTGTTCTGGGTATGCATTATATGTCGAAAGAGTCACTTGATTATCATGGCCAGAGATATCTTACGCGTCTTTATGTTTATCAGCTAGGTTTATTCTCGATCTCAATCGATTCATAACGTCAGCATCGTACAACAAGGAATATCGAAAGAAGCTCAAGACAACGGAAGCCAAAGCCTGTACAGTCGTTCAACAAAAAGCACAAAATCTATTAAAAATGTGGGAGAGGATAATTACGCTATACGAATTGGTAATTTCGTCAATGCATACGTTCAAGAATTTTACTTCAAAACAGTCTACTTATAATTTTATATTTAAACAGAAGCCTCCGCCAATTGATTCGTCGAAAGAAACTCAGGTCGTAAACGAGATAGAACGACTGTTGATGCTTTCTCCACATAAAACATTATCTCTGAGAAAGATGAAATTATCACAATATCCATGGCATTTGAGATTGATGGATTGTGTGGCTAGCTACTACAATTCGTTTTCAAAGACTTTGGACTCCTCAAGATGGGAACCAGACTTTCTTTCTGTTTTAGATCTGTCGAAAAACAATCTAACCGGTAAAGATGTCTTTCTAAACGACAAACATTAAGGATGGATTATTATTTACTTGTTCTATTACTATTTAGACCTACCACCAGAGATTTTGCTATTCAGAAACTTGGTAGTACTCCGTATATCGCATAACCAATTCACATCATTTCCCCCATATATAATTCAAATTCCAAAGACAACAAGTCTTCTTGGAATAGAACTCAACCCCCTACGTAAAGCCAATGCGCATAAGGTCGGGATCAATGTGCAGATACAAGACATTCCTTACATTCCTCGATTAATGGATCTGTGTGCACGGAATATATTAGTCGGGAAAATGCCTTGCAAACCGCCATGCTTAATTTCTCGTTGTTCATCATCTTTCGAATCTCTATCATCATTTCATTACAAACACATGAATATCAACTCGCTGGCTGGACACTTGGTGACAAATACGGTTCGCGAGTATCTTCGATCAGGCTATCTCTGCGAACTCTGCGGGCTGTTTATATCTTCCAATTCAGCTGCATATCTTCCAGAAATAATAGAAAATATTTCCTACATACGATATTCTGATTTCCTATCACTGAGGACAGATAGAGCAGACAGAGACTTTCGGGGTGGTGGGATGGTGAACATTACTCCAACTCCGTTGCTAAGGAGGTTTTGTGGGCAGTGTTGGAAGATTCATTGCAAGAATGAAGCTCCAGAGACATGTGGGTGTATTACATGTTTAACTGAACGCAGGGAAGATGGAGATGTTCGGTGGATGCGAATGCCAAGAGATGAACAATAATGTGTTTAGAAATAATGTCTCGAGATTACGATTATAAAAAGTAAATTCAATTTAAAGTATGTATCGAAGTGTTTGACTTCGATTTTATTGTAATGATAACAATATTGGTCAACTTGTTCGTTCTCTTTTGCTTCTACTCTCAGTAAACGACCATTAGGTGTTTCTGCATAGTTAATAGATTATCATATATAATTATAGTTTATTGTTCACCAGTAACGGTTATAAAATGATCTTTCCCATGTTCTAAGTGTAAAATTAGAATATCCTCAAATTGTAGTTCATCAGTTGATGACTGTACTGTCAGTTTTATATCCTGTTTGTTGCCTGTGGATAAACAACAAAAGCAATATGTAGTGAGGGCATAATAAACTTGCAGGTTAATTGTCAGCACAGACATGTACCTGGCGGTATTTCTCCATTTATGGGTTCAACAATCAACCACGACTGGCTGACAGAAACCTCGCCAAACTTGGGAATGAACGTGAATTTGACAGGCACCTTAAACAAAAGACAACTTAGAATACCATCATTTAGCTCTACATAACAAGCCACAGAATCCCAAGTACCTTGCCAGTATTTTCTATTATCAGAATCTCGCTCTTTGGTAGCATATCTGGCGTCAGTTTACCAAAATCGACTTGGTTAGTGGAGACAGTTGCATCTGGTATACGCTCATTCTCGAGCTTGTCCAATTCTCTAACCACGCTACTGTGAACATTAGCTTGTTTGTCTGGATGTATAATTTTGACCTTTAATAAATAAATGTCAGTAAATGCTATCGACTATCAATCATGCTTTGAATGCAAACAACTTACCTTCATCTCGAACGCGGCACTGACCGGTTTGTGGTCACTTGCTATAATATCCATATGATCTGTATAATAAACCTGTTTGATGAAATCATTTTGCTTGCTTCTCCACAATATCCTATCTGTCCATGCTGGAGATCTTCTTTTCTCACTATTATTTGTAAAAAACGTATTGATAAAAGTGTAAAATAAAACCATAAACGTGACACATATGCCGAGTGGTACATGTAGTTGTGTTTGAGTCAACGAGTCAGACCATCCTGCTTACCTTGTATCGTAGACAGTTTTTCCTATATCATATTTATAAGTTGGTGGAAAGGTTACATCCCCCTCCTCGAATTCGTTAAACGCCAACTTGGCTCTTCTCTGCATATTAAGCTGTAAATGTTCGGCAAACGGAAAAGTTAGTACATAATTCGCATAGCAAGTCAAATATACGATGTTCCTCTAACCTGGTCAAAATTTAGCAATAATTGCATATCATTATTCTCGAGCATAGTCTTCACTTCAGACTCTGGCAAAGTTTCGATACGATAATTTAGATCCCCCATCCAAATCAGATGACTAGGTTTCGCATAATCAGTATATAAACTCTCACATATATATAATAAATTCTTCGATGAGCATTTGACATCAATGCGATACTTACTCACTATCAAATATAGATACTAAACCCGTGTTGTCTTTCCCAAGACCAGTAATCATTCCTCCCATTCCTCCCATTCCTCCCATTCCTGCCATTGCTGCGGCTGCAGCGGGTACTGGTAAATTGGCAGCAACCCAGCTATACGGTGAAGGAAATGAGGCCATTGTATTAATGGAAAACCCTAATCTGCGACATATTTCTAAGTAATCTTGATTTCGCCTAGCGAGCTGACCGGGATCGGCCGCCAAATGACAACATACAAAACAGAGATAAGAGTCTCTGAATCGTAATCTTGCTGCTACTGCTCCCTTGTTTCCCTGGATGTACGAGCAAAGAAATATAAAAAGTTGGCATAGAATACAGCAAGCGATCAAATACGGACAATTGAGCTTGTACCAACTTTCAAATTCATACCATCACACCCAACATACCAACTCCAACTGAATCTGTTTGAACATCTTTAATGTTGGGAAGTTGCTCTTTTTTCACAAAGATCATAAGGAGTATGCCAATCAGTTGTTTCGATACGAGCTAATCATACAAACAAAAAATCTAGTGAGTTGATAAAAAGTGTATACATCGAATCGCTTCTGCTTCGATCAATTTATGCAACTACCTTATAATATTTGTTGGCCTTTTCCCCTAGCCCTAAAAGGATCGCGTGAGTCCATTCAATCTCTTTGGTCCCATCATAAACAAGATAGGCTTCTGGAGAAAGATCTAATTCCTGAAACCTAAAAAGCAAATCATCGAACCATCCGGTTAGACGATAAAATTAATCGGCACATAATGTCCAATAACTTACCCTATAGCATATATATCAGGCTCGTAATCAGGATTGAGCCAAACTGACAGATTGTCTGGTGCAAACTGTCCATTAACATTATAGGTGCCGGTAATTAGCCTATCAATAAGTATCTTAGAAATAAATGTGCATAAGTTAAACACAATCCGAAAATTGGTTATAACAAAAACCTAATAGTCTGCACTTCTGTAAATTCTTCCTCTCGCTCGGTCATTCTTTTGGTAACAAATGATGCCATTTTCCTAATAACTACACAGTATTCTTATTATTATAGCAGTTGCAGAGTATGATGTGCACTCTGATTTATCGAAGTCTCCCTTTTTAAGCAAAACAAAGTTCTGTCCCACAATGCTTACTTGAATTGAGCGGGACAGTACATTTTGCGAAAAATTGATCATGGACTTCATTAATTACAAGAAGTATATTGAAGAAAACGACCTGGTTATTGCCTTTGTGGTAAAATTCCATTATAACGATTTTCTTGTGGTAAAGAATTATTTGTCTTAGGCTAACTACGTGATAGAAACGAGAGCCTCCCTTCCTTCTAAAAGTAGACTCGAAAGCTTCGTATAATAATAAGTTTGGAAACTTCAAACATAGCAATATAATTGGGAAGGAATATGGAAGTCGAGTATGTCTTAAAATTTCGCATATGTCGTATTATTTGAATTCCTTGCAATTTTCTAATAATGCGCGATGGTCCTTTTTTCTTCTTCTTCTTCGAATAGATTCCATCGCACAATCAGAAAGCATACATGTATCTTCTTTATCCTACTCCAGAATTATGGACGATGGTCCTTCCACATAGAACGCAGATTCTCTATATGCCGGATATTGCATTTATCACGACTGTTCTGGATTTGAAGCCTGGATCCATCGTACTAGAGTCAGGTACTACTAAACCGATTTAGAATCATGGATATATGAATATATTCTACATGTAATTCTCATTCTCTCAACTAACAGGAACCGGAAGTGGATCGTTTTCTCATTCAATAGCCAGGACGATAGCGCCTCATGGACATTTGTATACTTACGAGTTTCATGAAGAGCGTGCAAAATTTGCAAGGTATTCTTAGTAAGATGACATTATGACCAACCATCTATGAAGAAAAAGAGGCGGTGTTTACAAGCTTACGCTTTAACAGACAAGAATTTAGTGATCATGGACTTGGTAACATTATCTCAATAGAATGCAGGGACGTATGTAAAAATGGATTTAATATAGAAAACTGTGTGAATGCAGGTAATTGTCATTGTTCGTTTGTTTGTCTGGTTTCGATTTGTTTTCGATTGATTCTTTCTTTCCCACTGAAGAAACGGAATTGTACGTTCGTTAGTATTCCTAGACTTGCCTGCCCCGTGGGAAGCAATAGCATCTGCAAAAGCCGCGTTTAAGGTACTGTTATGTTGGCATCGAGTTTCTGACCCATGTGGTCGTACTGACTTGCGCGATTTCGAAGCAAAATCAAATAGGAAAGATATGTTGTTTCAGCCCGTGTTTAGAACAAGTACAGAGGACATGTGTGGTTTTAAATGAAGCTGGCTTTAGCGGTATGGGTTGTCAGTTGTCAGAGCTTATTCAAGGTTTGCCTGTAGTTAATAATCTTTTTAATACTAGAAATCCAGATGTTTGAGTGCTTGGTAAGAACCCACGACGTTCACACGATTCCGGTCTATACGATCTCTGACGCGGTAGCCAAACTTAAAGTCCAACAGGCAAAAAAGAGAAAAAGGGTTAGCGACGACGAAGATAGAGAAATGGTGCCGGAGCAAAGTAAACAGGAGGGAAAGAGTGATCCACCCAATCTGTATGTCTCCAGGACAACGCGAGAGACCAAAGGGCATACTAGTTACTTGACATTTGCGACATTCTTGCCAGTTCTAAATGAAGAATTGGATGCACCATAAAAAAATTGTATTCAGATTGATACTATGATATAAGATCAATCCATAAGCCTGATAATTGTTCATTACATGTTTACATTTTCGTATTACATAAATGATTTATCATGTTATTGTCTCTTGTTAAGAGCCTATATCAGGTAAAACTTTTAGAAACAATTTATTTATTTCACGAGGTACAAATTCACGACATCGACCAAATAATACCTTCGTCCCTTTATTGTGGATTATAATTCCAGTCATTGTGCCTTTGCAAACCTTTCGGCGACGGTCTTCCAGTTGACCACAGACCAGATTGCTTTGAGATAGTCTGGCCGCACGTTTTTGTATTGCAGGTAGTATGCCTAAACCGAGTAGAAAAGTAGTATTAGAACTATCGGAAATCGCGCGAGAAAGAACAGTTAGGACTGAGTTATATACATGTTCCCAGACATCAACACCCAGGAGCGGTACGTGAGCTGCAATCATAGAATAGAGCGGAAGGAAATATGAATATACTGCCGGAACAAGAACAGTGCCTGAAATACTGGTAAATAAGCTCACTTGTCAAAGGATCCTGATTAGGTAAAGTAACTATCTCGATTCGCTTGGAGCTCTTATTATAACCCTTCGCGCGAAAAATAAAATGTTAGTTCCTTATAGTCACATTATGTCTATAAAAAGAATTAATGCTCACCAACCATCCCCATCCGGATCCTAGTCGCCATCAGGTAGCAGATATAAACTCATTAGCACGAATGTCAAACTTTTAACTAAAGCCCCTCTCATATCTCACCGTACCTTGCACAGCAGCAGTGGTAGTGTTGAATTTAGAAATGAAGTCTTCAAGGCTTCCAAATTCCTTCTGGATTGCACTAAGCAAGGCCCCTAAACAAAAACAATATATCAAAAAAAGTTCAAAGTTCAAATCGTTGATAGAAAGCTTATTAACAGAAGTAAGACTTCAGGCATACCTTTTGGCGGTTCGCCACCGCCCCTAGAGACTGGGGCGAGATTTTCCCAGAAGAGTGAGTGATTGATATGGCCTGCCCAGAAGGAATACAACCAAATCAAACTCAATAATACAGTATATCTTGCTGACAATTAAAAGTGTTCCATAAGACTCACCGCCACCATTGAATTTAATCGCTGACTGTAAAGCAATCTGTGAGGTAAGATCGCCATCACGTAAAGCTTGGTCATATTTTTCTTCAGCAACGTTCAAACCGCTTACATAGGCGGCGTGATGTTTATCATGATGTACTTTCATAATTTCGGCGGAAATAGCTGGTTCGAGAGCCTGTAGTGAAAAATGAATGACATTCATTTTCTATGGAGTGGCCCAATGCAAACGAGCAACTATCATAGATAATGTTCATCATATACGTTGTAATCATACGGAAGGTCAGGTACGCTGTGCTTCGCCCTTGTAGTCATAGAAAGGCGTTTCACTGCTGATAATCTTGTTCTAATGCGTGTTGATAGGTGAAGCATCTTTGAAGCTCTGCTTAATATTTTTTGACAAACTGCTTATGTTCAGATTTGACCACCAAAAAGTGTTTTTCTCACTCTGTAATAGTCATGAACGTGAGTGTTTTTATTAAGAATTTGATGGTGATAATCAAAAACGAGCATTTTTTTTCAGGAATGTGTAACACCATCCGAAGATTTTCTCACGAAGCAAACACCATGAGAAAAACGGTGTAACTTTAAAACGAGTATTGGCACTACGTAAAGTTTAAAGGACATAACAATAATATATCTGATATATTTGATTATCATTATTTTATCGAAAAGTATAACAATTATTGTTGTTGCTTACATAGTATGTAATATTGTGCGACAGTGCGAATCATTAGAGATGTAATACCCAAGAACGAAAATGAGAATAAAGAGGGACATGAAGATATGAAAGAGTATAGTGTTATTACTTGTACACGTGATGTACACATGAATTAGATAATAATAATAAAATTTATCGAATCGACTGTATAAGCCTGAAGAACAGCCGCTTGAAGTAGAGCACTTGAAAATATATTTCCGAAGGAACACTGCAAAAAAATACATTCGCCCAAGTGTTCTAAGGAACTTTGCATTTATGTGTTGATAAAACAACAAACTTTCTGATCAACCAAGATACGCTCCAAGACATACACAAATAAATCACTTCATATAGCGAATGGAAAAGGAAGTTCAGAATTTATTAAAGACACCGACAATTCACCATCTTATCAAAGTTCCCAATTGTGGGAAGAACGTCAATATCATACATTTAACTTCTATCAGGAGAGATGAATTTCGAGTACGATTGCAGATTAACTTTCCTCGATATCACCCCAACTTAACTCGTGAATTTGCAATGGTACAAAACTCCTACAGGAGAGGGTTAAAGACCCCTAAGATGCTCAAAGACATTTTTGACCAGCTTATACGGGAGCTTCTCCGAGTACACTCATAGATCTGAAATTGAATCATCGGTAGTAGATTAGAATCTATATCCTCTGATTGATCACTCATAATTGAACAAATGTTGAAGACTGTAAGACGATTGCTAAATAAAGGAGTGGTTTAGCCGATTTTACGAAACGTTTAAAGATAAGTCTATTAATCTAGAAATAGAAAGAGCGTGCGTAAATACCGTATTCTCTCGTGAATAAGCACAATGATATGGTAAATTCGAAATATTAATATATATCTAGCCCAATTTAGGATGGGCCAACTCATTGGACAAATCATCTATCGCAATCTAATTCAAGACCACTCATCCCTTTACGGACAATCGTCATCCAGTTTAGACAGTGCGTCTTGTTTGGAAAACAAAGACGGGTGACATACTATGTATAATAATCGATAAATATACACCACAATACACGAAGTAGTGACCTCCTATTGTTAAAGGGGGTGCTTATTTTCGGAACTATACGGTAACAATAGTCAATTTAGAATAGAAAACATATCTGTACACATTGTTGTGATATCCGACCGCCCCTTATTTGTGAAGGTATATATTAATATACACAGTGAAAGCGGAACAGACTTTTTCTCTGGAACGGAATTTGTTTGCTAAATAGTATCTGATATAAAACTCACAAGTTGATATTACGGACTCGTCGATATTACAGATTAAAACGCTACCCTCAGACCTTAAACAACAAACTTTCAAACAAATATTACACCAAGGGCTCTATTTACAGCCTATCAAGACACGACCAAGATACGCTCCACCAAGACACGCTCCTTGCCTTGTTAGTGCAAGCACACCTTTAGCGTCCAATCGTAGGTGTAACTAATAAAGGAGCGCAAAACTCCAAGATACGCTCCACGACACATATCGGTAAGTAGTACGATTATGAATAAATTTATTAATAGTTAATGTACTAATTTTTATTACAAATAACAAGGGTGTAATAAAATTTTTAAATTATTATATGTTAAGAAAAAAATCGTACAGATCAAAATTTGTTCATTTTACATTGAAGGATTTACTGTACGTATAGCAAGCTGATGTAGGAGTATAGAATCCCTCTACGCCGTAATAATATTCTCCAGGCGAAAAGTCGCTGTCTAAATAAAACCATACGCTAATCTCGCTTTTGCCATCCACAGGTGCTTCGGATGTAAATAATGAACCAGCGAAAGTATTATCATCATGGTATAGGGAGACGGTTGTAATCACATAAACTCCAGATGAGCCGATTTGGACAGTGACGTTTTGATTACTACCTTTCTTTAATGTTTCACCGCCAGCTGGATAACTAACGGAGAAGCCTAATCGTCAAAAAAGTTGAGTGTTGTTTGTTAGGATAGACTTTATCCATAAAAACGCTTGAAACAAAGTCTTTTACTTGTACATTTATTAATTACCCACCAGAGCAATCTCGCTTTACTAGGGCAGGAACAGCTGTGACCGTTGTAGTCATCAGAAAAGTAAATGCAATTAACAAAACGAGGAAAAAATATATGTTGTTCATACTGTCGGCTGTTTGGGGTTGAGGAAGAGGAGTGTTAGTATGTGCAAATTGCTGTAGTTATATTAATATACTATTTCGCTCAGGTAGTAGTGGTTTCAAATTTTGGGCGGTTTATAACTGTACGTTGATACGAAGTCATAAATAATGCAATGAGTCTCTAATGGAAAGGTCCGATAATTAATTTTTGTGAGGTGATAAATTTTCTTATTGATCGTTTGGCCGACATATGATAACCTTTTCGGCTGAAATCAACAATGATTTATATAATTGAGTTTGTTTCAAATGATTTATCTTTTCTTTTTTCTATATCACGCAGTCATCGCTTGTTCAAGTGCAGGCCATTTTGGTTGTAGATTCTTGCAAGTTGAGCAGCATGATCGTCCTCATTTATATTTATTGCAAGCCACTTTCCGCTTTCACGGATAGCATCACCAACGGTGCTAGTACTGCAACCAAACAATTTAGCGATTTCTGCATTAGCAAAAGAAGGATTTTTAGTTTAATTTGACAAATTTCTTTTTTCTGCAACCCTATTAATGAAGTTCTAATGCGTTTAGGTGTCTCTATGTCTGTATTAAAATTTTGGACAGAGATTCTCTTGCGTGGCATGGTAATAATTAAAAGGTTGGCTGTACATTTATTGTGGGAGCTGATGCTGACCGGCTGAAGCTGAAACTAACCAATGGGGTTAGAGAATAAAATCTGATTAGCCAATGAAAGGTCATGGTTTCAGCTTCAGCGCATCAGCCGTGACAATTTACAAATAATCGCCGGTATAAAGTAAATCTTTTTATATAATTTAAAGTAAACTGGTCTACATGATTTTATGTAACTTGTGCCAGAGCCGAGTTATTAAGATCTGCCATTATAAGGGGAGATTAATATGGAATTTTTTGGTTCAGCGAAATTGGACCAGTATAAAGGCAAACCGGTATATGCAATGCTAGTATAGCCAGAGTTGACTGTATAACCTGTATAACTTGTATGTGCTTATCAACAAATTGCCCATATCAGGTTATATTATCTATATTACAGATAAAAGTATTTTTATTGTTTTATTCAGTTGGATTCGATAGTGTATAAAGAAATTATTGGCAATTACATATTTGATCCCTGATTGCAACAATGACCATAGAAATCAAACATGATTAATACCTCGTTTGATAGCTAAAATGCAGTAAATTTGTTAGCAAAATTTTAATATGCTATTCTTTCTCCATTGCTTTCAATAACTAACTCATATCTGCACTTTATCAATTGTACTAAATTAATTAACATGTTGTTTCTTTAACATTAACCTTCCAAAGATTTTCTGACTTATGTGCCGCAGCAACAACGGAGTGACTTCTAAAAGACATTACACCATTTAATAAAAATAAAAAGCAGGTTTTCGTGATCAAACAAAAACAAGTTTACGTAAATTGGCTTATTTTTGGGAAAGTTATACGATTTTAAGTCTATGCAATTTTTTTGCCAATAATTTCTTTACACACTGTATATTAGAATGTTCGATGTTACACGGCAAACGGGGGTTTGCTTCTTGCTTTTGTTTTCTTCCGAGAATGGCTCCCCTTCGACTTGTGCTCTAGCATCGCCTTAATATACCCCATGTCTTCGGCAAAGCGGATCGTATACATTTCCACCTTGCTGATGTGATCACCGAAGTCAGTCCAATCGCCGCTAGATTGAGTGAGACGTTTAAAAATAGGAATTGTGTACACAACTTATATTAGGTAATCGCTTACAGATTCGATCGGTTTATTTCCATCCCTGACTTCTTTTTTGATTAATTGTAATCGCCCCAGCACAACGGCTAGGTATGTTTTGGACGGCCATCTAGTTCATCTTGGTGGTCCAGAAGACCAAAGTACGTTTGTTCCTTTTCCTTTATTTGGTTAAATTATATGTAGTAAAAATTAGTACATTAACTATTAATAAATTTATTCATAAACATACTACAGTCAGACCTCCTTACAGTCACCAAATCCGTTGCACCTCAAAGTGGTGATTGTATAGAGGTGTGACTGTAATTATAAAACCTCTATACAATCACCACCATAAT